AACACTTCTGCTAGTATCTGATCTACTACAAAGACACTGATGTTTCAGCATCTTCCTTGTCACTGTGTATGTTTAACAAGCTCCTTCTGATTTTTTTCCCCAGAGGCTGTGAAGAGGGTCTTTAAGTGGCTTCAGTTTGAGACAGTTGAGTACATGGATCTAGAAGGAAAAGAAATATATGACACAGTTGAAGAATACAGCAAGAAAGATCATAGAAATATGGACTGTTTTGTTTGCTTCATTTTCTCCCATGGTGAAAAAGACAAAATAAAAGGTGTTGATGATGAGTGTGTAAATATTGAAGCTTTAGTCTCCCGCTTCACTGGAACTAATTGTCCTTCTCTTGCTGGCAAACCCAAGGTGTTCATTATCCAGGCTTGCCAAGGCTCTGAACGTCATCCATCTGTTGCAGTAGAATCAGACTCTTGTGGACATCTTGAGATGGATGCTAGACCTTCGACTTCCATTCCTGATAGGGCTGATTTTCTGATTGGCATGGCTACAGTGGAGGACTACCTGTGCTACCGCAGTCCTAATACTGGCAGTGTTTACATTCAATCCCTCTGTGAGAACATGAAGTTGCTCTGCCCACAGTAAGTACTATTTCTAATTCTTGTACATTTAGAGTATTGCAGATGTGCATACTTAAGCATGCTGTGCTGAAACACAGTGGTTTGCATTTGTGCAATTAATGCTTTTTCCATTCAGGACAGTGGAGAACAGTATTTATTTTGAAATTGGGCACTGTCAGTCTTCTACAGATAAGCCAAAGTATAAGTGACTTCCCCTGGTTTTCCTGCGACCAAACCAGGGTTGTAATGCTGCAACGTTACACACAAACAAGCGTGTGCATGTGTGTTTTTTAACATTTTTTGACTGAGAATTTTTTTTTCTTCTGGTGATACCTGACTAGAGGTGAATTTGCTGAGTGATTACACAGACAAAACCCCCCAGTGCTGTGCAGGCATAATTTTCATTGTTGCCTCCCACCCATCCCCTCATAAACTTCATTTAGAAAATAGAATTTCCCTTCAGATATCATTTTCTCATGGCATCCAGGAGATGGAGAATGTGTAGGTTTATTTCATCTTGGCGACCTCTTCTGGCTGTAACCAGAGCAATGCTAGATGGAGGTTGCTTTTATTTCCCCCAAACACACTGAATTCTGTGATTATTCAATGGAGTGTGCAATTTCAGTGGCAATAGGGTGAGGAAGATACCAGCCTTCCCTGGCATACCCCTTTCGTGGGGCAAACACACATCACCATCTTGGCTGAGCTGCAAGTACCATGTGTCTCAGTGTAACTTCTCTTCATTTTTGTTCAAGGCGCGTGGATCTCACAACCATCCTGACAAAAGTGAACCATGAAGTGGCAACAAAAGACATGAAAGGATTTAAGCAAATGCCAAAGATAACATCAACACTACTGAAGCTATTGATCTTTGAAGTTCCACAATGAAAAGCAGACAAGTAAGAACACACTCGGTTAGGAATGACATCTGGGCTTTGACAGAGAAGTGAACTTACATGAGAAATTATCTAGATCTATGTAGTAGCCCTAGCCCTTTAAGGAGGCATAGGACCTAAATTTTTCAAATTCCATATTGAATCAGTCTTCCAATACCTGGATCTGTAAGAGTCAGGTAAGGATGTGGAAAACTACAAATCATCATGCTTTTTTTCGTGCAGAAGCAGTGGAGTATGTTCAATCTGGGTTTCAAGTGAGAAATGACTTCCAAGTAGTACTGTAAAAGTTATTGGAATTGTCAATAAAGTCCCATTTGTGTCTGAGTGAAGTCCCTAAAATCTGCAAAAAAAGAACAGATTCAGAAAGCTGGATGCGTTCCCAAGCAGTGTGTGTTAGGTTGTAACTGCCTTACCCAGAGGTGAATCGTCTGTCTTTGGAAGCTACAAATGTTCATGAAAAATAGCATCCTGCTCCAGAAGGATCAAAACCCCATGATTATGTTAGTTTGGTTCTTTTCGTCTAAATATTTCGTTTATGTCAATCATCTGCTTGAATAAACAGCCCGACTGTGTAAGTTTTTCAATAATAAAAGTTCTCACTTTGCTATTTCTCAGAGTTCTCAGAGCACAGTGTCTTGAATGAATGTGGAATACTGGAAAGAAGTTCTGTAATCATGTTTCTGTTAGAATAAATTCTCTTGGTTTTTATATCACCTCAGTTTGCGGTGTGTTTCTCTCTTGGATGAGCTTTCTGAGGGACAGTCAGCATGACAAGCACTTTTACCCCACAGAAGTAATTTTGTTCTTGTTGGAGTATTTGTTGGCAGCCACCCCAAGGGGCAGCAGCTGGAGAGATGGTAGGAAAGAATAAGTTCAGGACTGTCACGATAATGGCAGCTGATGCCAGTAGGACAATTCAGTAACTGCTTCCTCTATGAGAAACTTGCTGGAAGGTGGCAGCAGCTGCAGAAGTGAAGTTGTACATCTACAGCATTTCTGTTTCACATATTTCTGTGTAAGAGTTCAATACACTCAGACCAAGTTCTTTCAGCTATTCTACATGAGACAGAATTGGATATCAAATTTAATTATTTGGTATCTTTGGGGATACACAGGATTTTGATTTGGTAGGGTAAGACAGCTACATAGGTGTGCTATCTGTCATGACCTGGACATTCCCAGTCATGGTGGAATGTGGGTGGAAGCCAGCTCAAGCCCATTGTTCTTTTCAAACTTTAAATGTTTTATCAGTTGTCCAGGTTTTATACTTTTATGTTGGGTTGGGGTCAGCCAGTTATCCACGCCCTCCATGGTGGTCTGCCTTGCTCAAGAAGGAATTATTCCTTGTTAATTGTCTAGGGGTACCTGATGATTCACAGATGCAAATGTCTCCTCTAAAATTAAGGTCACTCTCCAATCCTGATGTTGAGGTAAATTGGACTTTCCTTATTACCTGTTCTTCCCTGAGATGGTGTGGGGTTTTTTGTCCTTCTCCTCTGAGCTGTCCTTCACTGGAAGGGGGGAGGGGGGTCTATAGAGGGTGCTGATCAGTCACACCCTGTGATTTAAATTAAGTGATTTGGTATTTTGTTCTGCCTGTTAAAATCCAGCTACCTCCATAGTATACCATTATCACTCATGGATGAAGACCTACTAGGTGGAAGAGAAAACCCAGTCAAAATCCTTTAAAGAACCACAGAACAGCCATACTGTGAATTTATATGTAGGTCATGCAGCAACCAGGCAAGGAGAAAACACATTTTGAGTTTTGCGTTCTGAGCAAAGTGTGGCTGGTGGGTTTTTGCACATATTTGTGACCCTCCCACAGAGCTGAGTGGTAAGAAGGAAGTCGGTTCTGCAATTTCCTGACTGTTTTTTCTCTCTAGTACAAGCTAGACAACAGTGAGTGGCAATTACTTTTTCTCTGTGAAGGCCCTCAGCTTTGTTTTTACTTTGCCTTTTCTTTCATACCAGCTCATGGCTGGGAGGCTAAATCCAGTTAAAAGCCTGGCACTTAATTCTATTTTGTTTTCAGACAGCAGAAGCACTGCCACCAGAAAGTGGGGCCAGAAGTCTGGTAGGAAAGGAAAACTGAAAGCAGGCAAGATCAGAGTGGTGCTATTTGAAAAGGAAAACACTTGTAAGAGTTGAGCTGTTAGCTAAAGAAGAAATAATGCTGTCCAGGGGCACGAGTCCTTGCCCAGTCATTCATATTTTGCTACCTATTCTTTCAGTTAACCAGCAGTGTTGAGTGTTCAGCCTTTTTATTCTGACCCCTAAAAAACGTGGGCATATTCTCGCTGAAGTTATTCAAACCTGCCTCTTTTCAACTAGAGATATTTCAAATTATGAACAGAGAATGGCATGTTTAATCTTCAATGACTTCTTTGCAATGTGCTAAGAAATATAAGTGAGATCTTTGGGAATTCATTCATTCTGTGTGTCCTTTCTGCAAGTGTGTCTTTTCTTGTCACTCTGTTATGTTATTGACAGCCACTGGAACTCCCCAGGCCACAAACATGGCTGGCTCTTGTGGATGCCAGCCACACATGGCATGTCATCCTGGACACATCTCCTGAGCTTGGCCTAAGTCTTCCATGTCAGTTTTATACGTGTAGCCACTTCGTGTTTAGGCCTGATTTGTCCAGGTATGTGAGTGCAAAGATGGATCCATATGTCCTTAGAACAAGATAGCAAGATGTTGAAAAGTGCCTTGCTTTTTGGATTCTTTCCAACTTTGACCCAACTTACCATGCATATAGTAACCAAATATCTTGCATAGGGGTTTGAACATTGATAAGGCATTTCTAGGATAACAATAAACAGATTTCTGTTTAATATATTGTTAAAGTGTTTTTTACTGGATTTTTGGGAATGGGATGCTGGTTTCAAATCAGTGCTTAGCAAAGATAAAGAACATTGGTTCTTTATTGTATAGTGTGATGTGCTGAGGGTTGCTCTCTGGCTCAAAGTGAGCATTAAGTGAGTTTTTAAAAGGATGAAATTCCAGTTGGTAAAATCTCTCCCCTCCTGTTGTGAAATACATCTATCCATGGTGCTGCACCAGAAGGTGAAGTGGAGGTGGTGCAGCATCCCAGGGCCCTTCACCAGCGCAGTGCCTGCTCCTGTTGCAGAAGCGTCCTGAGCAGATGTGGGACGGGTGGAAAATGAGCTGTTTTCCATGGCTGGTGGCTCTTCGGGGCCGAACGCCGGCAGGGAGGGTGCTGCCTTTTCTGACAGCAACCCAGAAGGCTCGCAAGGAGGAAGGCGAATCAGTGGTGCTATAAAAGCTTCCTTCTCCTTGTATTAAAATCGCAGTTGTTTAGCCTGGGAACCAGCGAGAGGCGACAGCAGGAAACGCCCGGGCAGAGGGACACCTTTGCATCCGCACTAGCCGGTTGGGTTTGCTCAAGAATGGGCTCTAGAACAGGCGGAATTGGGAACGGAGAGATCCCAATACACCCCGTTCCCCAAGGAGCTGTGGGGTATTTCGCTCCGGAAGTTTAAATCCAGAAGGAAGCGCCGCCCCGGGTCGGGCTCCGCCCTTCGCCTTGCGCGGCTGCGGCGCGGCTATGGAGCTGCCCCGGGGGCGGCTGCTGGCGGTCAGCGACGAGCTGGCCGGGGCCGAGCTGGCGGCGCTGAAGTTCCTCTGCCGGGACCACGTCCCCTGGAGGAGGCTGGAAGCCGTCTGGACCCCTCACGACTTGTTCGAAGCGCTGCAGGAGAAGGGCTTGCTGGAACCGGGGGACCTGGCCTTCCTCAGGGAGCTGCTCTACCGCATCGGGCGGATCGACCTCCTGGTTGCCCACCTGGGCTCCAGCCGGGAGCAGGTGGAGAGGGAGCTGCGGGCGCCGGGCGGGGCGCGGGTGCCGCCCTTCAGGTGGGTGAGGGCGCCGGGCTGGGCCGGCCCGGCTGCGCGCCTCGTTCTGCCCGGGACAGCCGTCACCTCCGCTCAGCCGGGCTGAAGGGTTTCCCTTCAGGCGGTCCTGGGCCTTGCGTCCTCCATCTCAAACGGGAAAAAAGGGGAATATGTGCTGGGGGGACAGTAGACAAGAGGAGCGGTGTATAGTACGGTGTTGTACTTGGAAACACGATGAAACAACTCCCTCCACTTCTTTTTCTAGATACTTGCTCTTTCAGCTGTATGAAGATGTCATCGAAGATGAGCTGATGTATTTCAAGTTACTTTTGGCCAATGATTTGCCAAAAAGCAAGCTAACCCGTGAGACTGTAAGTATCTCTGTAATACTTTTTAAAAATTATTACTATAATCCATAGAGGCAGTTGGGTTGCTTACGGGGGAATGAGCTTCACTCTTCTTTATGTGTCACTCTTAAGACGAAAACACAAGAAAAGGGGTGCCCCTGGTTGCACGGGGGACTTGTTTGTGCTGGTGTCAGGCAAAGCTTTTGCAGCAGTGTCACAGCCAGCTATGCCAGGAGTGCCAGGCACAGAGGCCATCACATCCAACACATCCAAGCATCACAGGGAACTTAGGACGCTCAGTGGCCTTAATAAACAAAAAACTGATAAGCACATTTACTTATCTTAGCCAGACTTTTTTTTTCTCAGTCATTATCAAATATAGAAAGTGATCCACTGCGGATATTATTTTATATGTTTTTTAAATGCTGAAAATACAGATCTAAGCAGCAGAGTCTTCTCAAGGCTAAGTCAAATAAGTTGGAATTTACAAGTAGCCTTGCAGATCCAGTGCTTTTATGTTGTCCCAGCCTGTCCCAGTTCTGATTCCTTGGTACTTTGTTTTGTCTAATAAAAGTTTTGAGGATTTTCCTTCTTTTCTTAGAGGGGAGACTGTGAGAACTGTTCTAGTAAATTCTTGGGGTGACCACTGTGCTCTGCCACTCACTGATGAGTTTCTGTCCCTTGGGTCCCCTTTTGCTTCAGAGCAATCTCTATACCTCACATGATGGTGTAGAGATTGCTCTGAAGCAAAAAGGGACCCAAAGGACAGAAAACGCTTTTTGCCAGTGCTTAAGATGGTCACTGCAGTAATTCTTCTGTTTTACTTGAGTGCACAATAGCCACTGAAAGTCGAATGAAAGCAATCATTAAAAATATTGTTACATTCTTGTATAACCACTGTTAGATGTCCTGGGTTAGATCTTAATTAGATCTTGGCACCTCTGAGCTACAGAAAGGAAATGAGTACGTTTTGAGAAGATGTTGGTACTTAACAGTACTTGTAGGTTTTGTTGAACTAGGATTAACTGGCTCAGTTGAGGTCTCACCTGAGCTCCCAGTCAGCTGGGTTGACTCTCTGGGCCACATGTGCTGTCAGTACATTAAAGCTTTGGTGCACATGCTGCAGCTTCGCTCCCAGTGGCAGCATGGAGGTGCCCTAAGAACAAACTGCCTTTCTGATTACTCAGACAATGCTTGACATTCTCATTGAGATGGAGAAGAAGGGCCTTCTGGGGAAAGACAACCTAAGTATGCTGAAGAGTCTCTGTGAAAAAATTAACATCAGCCTGTGGAACAGAATTGAAGATGGATTAAAGCCGTTTGGTAAAACAGAACAAACCAGCCTCTTCCCCATAGTTATTCTTGAAGTGATGTAGAGGTGTTGCACAGCACTGATCATGAATGCTTTGCAGGCCGAGAAGAGATGCTCATCACAGAGGAACAGAGGGGCAGCACAGGATACCCTGAGGGACATCTGGTGTCATCTGTAGCCCCTGGTCCTCCTGGCAGTTTTAATGACCCTTCCCAGGTAAGTTAGTTTATTTCTTAGAAACATCATGATTTCATCTTAGAAGAACTCACCCCTCCATGAAGTGGTGTCCTAAGACCAACTGTTAAAAGCCCTATCTAGAAAAAGAAAAATGCCCAACTCTGCATCCTTTATTCTGAAGTTGTGTCACAGGCACAGCTGCTGCAGTGTTGTACTTCAGAAACATCTGCAAGGATAGCAGGGTAGGCTGAGTTTATGATACCAGGAATTAGGCAGCTGGCTTGGCACCAAGATATGAGTGAACAGAGCACCTTGTGTGGGTTGAGTGTGACTTTGGTGGTCCTGCACAGACTGCCAAAGGCAGTGGGGCAGGGCACTGCCAGGCCCTGGAGCAAAGCTGTTGAGGGAGAGTTGCCTGGAGAGGAGCCAGCTGGCTCTGGACCCTGCTCTGCCACTGACAACAGCTGAGGAGCACTTGGAGGACAGTGTAGGAGCTTCACCAGGAGTCTTTCTTTTCAGCTGCTTGAAGCATACAAAATGACCAGCCGACCCTGTGGAGTGTGCCTGATCATGAATAACCACAATTTTGCAAAAGCTAGGGAAGGAATGCTGGAACATAAACACATGAAAGATCGGAATGGGACAGACGTGGATGCAGGTACAGTGAATGTTAAAGATGAGTTTGCCAATCCTTAAAAATAGAAATCTTGTTTCTCTTTCTCAAGTCTGAATTTCAGTCTTCCCTTTCTAGGATTATTTTTGTTGTAGTGGCTCAGTTGGCTTGGTTTAATGAGCTGACAAGTCCTAATCAACTCATCAATTTGTTAGGGCCTGACACTGAACAATTCACTTGCATTTTGCAGTTTTAGTGAGGTGACTGAAACCTTAAGCAGCACCCTGAGCCTGGACTTTACAAGCTAGGCTAGCTTTGCATCAGCCTTATGCATACTAATTCTAAAATATGCAGAAATATGCAAGAAAACCTTTTAATGCCAGTTAAGGGAACACAGTAGATATATGATTGTTGATTAGACTACTAGAGTATTTTCAGACCAGGAATGTAGCTACATGCATGTAGTCATGTAGCAGATGACCAGTTATATCTAGAAATGCAATCTGCAGTTGCAGAGTCCAACTTCCATATAATGAAATGTCTCAAATTTCCCTTTTCTTTGCTTTCCAGCGGCTCTGAGGAATGTCTTTAGCAAGCTTCATTTTACAGTAGAAGAATATAGAGATCTCACTGCACAAGAAATCCGTGAGACTGTGAACATCTTCCGGAGTGCAGACCATGAGGACAAGGACTGTTTTGTTTGCTGTATCCTGTCTCATGGGAAAAAAGGCATTATATATGGTGTTGATGGGCAGGAAGTACCTATCAGGGAACTGACCACTTCTTTCACTGCACAGAATTGCAATTCACTTGCTGGAAAACCAAAAGTTTTTTTTATTCAGGCCTGCCAAGGTGAAGCTTTCCATCAAGGTGTGACCATCGAAACAGATTCTGGAGAGCAAGATTCTTCTGTGGAGCAAGATGCGAGGCTTCAGCTCGAGTGCATCCCTGCAGAGGCAGACTTCCTCCTGGGCATGGCCACCCTGCAGGATTACGTCTCCTACAGAAGTCCCAAGGAGGGAACCTGGTACATACAGGCACTGTGCCAGCGCTTGGAGTACAGCTGTCCTCGGTACCTATGTTTCCAAAAGATTATTTTTGGCAACACCTGAATTTTTCTTCTGGATGGCAAGAATTTGATTTAGATGCAGAGGTAGATGATACAAAGTGGGAATACTTGCTCAGAGTGGAAACAGTGATGTAGGACAGAGCAGCACCATGCAAACTGTTCAAAGCAATTTAGGGAAGTGCTCTGAAGCCTATTAAAAACAGGAGCTGTTAGCACTGGAGTATATCAAGATAGCAAAAATATTACTTTGCTGATGTTAACTGCCTAACACAAACTGTACTTGTTTCTTTGCAGAGGGGAAGATATTCTCACCATCCTGACAGCCGTAAATCAAGAAGTGAGCAGAAAAACTTGTGAGCGGGGCACAAAGAAGCAGATGCCGCAGCCCAGTTTCACCCTGAGGAAGAGGCTCATCTTTCCTGTCAACTAAATGGGAGGCAACTGCAAGCCAGAGAGAGCTGCTGCAGCCTGCAATTGGCTGGTTTCAGAATTCAAACACAACAGACTTTTACTGTCTGCTCTTAGCTCAAGGGCAGATATTTTTAATTTAAACTACAATTAAGGAGAAAAAGCCTTAAGAAATTCGTATTGATACATTAATTTGTATTAATACTTTATACTTGAGAACATCTCTGAGCTTGTCTCTGATTTATTTCTGATCTATTTAGCTGATCTCTCTCAGTGTTTTGCTGGCAAAATTCTACTCAGTGTCTTCTTATCAGCTCTACCACATTACTACTGCTGTCATAAGGTATTTACAAGGCAACTTTCAGAAGACAACTGTTATAAAGCTTTGTGTACTTTATGCCTAACCTTTGCAAAATAAAGGGAGGAGTGCTGTAAATTTTATAGGATACAATCGGCTCCTATCTGTGTGTTTTGTTACTTGTTTCCATGACTTAGAATCATCCATTCTTAGTGGCTTGGTACACTTCAAGGTCAAGTTAAGCATTTGTTACCTGGCATCCTCAGCAGGATCTGTCTCTGACCTGGATTTCAGTGTATCCTCCATGTAGAGTAGTCTCAACAGCGAAAATCAGTTGCTCTGGTACAGCTTCATGGTTGAGTATGTCCACTTACCCTGTGTTCACTTACCTTTAAGTCTTAGTTCTAAGCACAGAACAAGTCACTAGGTAAGTACCCAGCTCCTTAAAACATTTTAGATTGCCTTCTTTGGTGAGCATGCACAAAACTGCTTTGATGTCTACTCCCATCTGTCACAAATCTATAGGGCTCACATAACGTCAGCTACTGAGATGAAAAAACAACTGTGCTGATGTTAGTCAGTAATGCAGTGCTAACACTGTAATGCTAGAGGAACACACTAGCTGCTCTAAAAGAGGGGAGGACAAAACCTTAAAGCACCACCCATGCACAAAACTCCCCGAGGTACCAGAAAATATGAACGGATTAATTTAAAGTGAGGCTCAACACTTAAATACTGTCTATATCAATTAAATACTGTCTGTATCAACACCTAAATACTGTCTATATCAATTAAATGCTGTCTATATCAACACTTAAATACCGTCTATATCAACTTATTGGCTTCTAAAGCCACCTTTTCTGTAGATACCAACTCACTTCACTAAGCTTCTTTACAGTATAATAATCACTATAAATTTTAGCCACAGAAAAGGCCCAATTTTAGGTTGGTTATAGACCACTGTACTAGAGAAGATGACATCTGGAACAGACCACAGAAGATAGCAATATACTGAAAAATGGCATGTTATACATGTTTATTATCAAATTTACATTCCACTATGAAACAGCAGTAAGTGCAAAAAGCAGATGGAAAAAATACCATGAAAATCCCAGACTGTTCAAACACTGTAGTCCCCTCATGTAACAGCCAAATGAAGCCCAATGCAATTATTTTCCTTCCCTCTCTGTTGCTATTCGACTGTAGTAGATGTTTAACTTTGATCACGGGTATTTTGAGCATGCAGGTATCACTGAGTTTATTAAAAACTAACAGTGAAACTAGAAAGGTTTAAGTTTGTGCTTTAAGACAATCGGAATAAGGTAAATACAAGAATTCCCTTCTGTCTCCTGTAACTTGCACAAGCATGGTAAGTCCTCTCTAGCATCCGTGTTTGACTCAAACCTGCAAGATAACACAACCCTGCCAAAATGTAATTCTCCATTCCTTCTAGATCTACCTCTACTCAAACAAAAGATCTGGTGCAGGATGTCAGCCACGCAAGTTTGTCACCTCTCACCCCTCTTACAGGAAACAATGAAAGCCAAATAATTCCTAGAATCATGGTAACTTCTAAAATGTTCTCAGAAACACATATTGTTTAAAAAAAGTTTATCTTGTAGGTTTTGGCACAAAATGGTAAACTTGGAAGAAGTATCAGTTTTCCCTGTTACTGCGAGCCAGGCATGTATATCCAAACTGTGCATGACGATCCAAAGGCATAAATGCATGACAGAATTTGAACAACGCTGCACCACAGCATCAACCCATTGGGCAAACATACACAAACACCATGGTATAGAGATTCTTCCATTTTCTTTTGGCCTTATGTAAAGTATCTGATGATACACCTCAGCTACAAATCAAACTGACCTCTCAACATCCACAGCATTGTTTGAACTGAACCAGTTTATATTGCTGGGCTATGGAATAGGGAATTATTCCCAGGAGACACATGCATTTCATTTATATGCTTGTAGATCAGTTTTACCTGGACCATGGTCTGCCAAAGGAATTCTGCCTCAGCTGATTTGCTACTCTGCTGATCCACTGCTGGAGTTATCTTATGAAGCGGTTAGAAACACAGTGTAGTACCTTCAAAAATGTATCTGTAACTCAGGTATTCCTACAATAAACACATAAAATGGACGGACTTTTGACATGCTACACACTTCTCTGTTGGCACCAAACTGTCTAAGCTTTTGCTAACTCGTTTCCCTGGAAGTTAGAGATACACTGCAGCCATACATGTCCCAGGCCACTGGAGACCAACAGGGCACTCCCTCCTCTCACTCTTATGCAGCGAGGCAAGACATCATGCTCAGCTAAGTACATACAAACATAAATACTTACATGAAAAAATTAAATATTTTTCACTTAAAAAACAAAATTAACCCGTATATAGTCTTTTAAATAAAATTCACCTTTTGTAAATGTAAGATTTTGCTTAGAGAGCAAAAGGCAACTCCAGGAGTTCCGGAATATTTCTGTGCGCTGCTGACAGACAAGCTTCTGCTAAGAATCCCTGTGCAAGTTTGAAGTGGTTACTCCTTTTCCTTTTACAAAGCAAAAATATCAAAAATCATCACAAGATCTAAAGAACCGTAAAATCAGAAAGGCCATGTTACAAATTTCCTATAAACAAGGTTAGGAAGCTTTCTTTTCCTGCCCTACTCCATTCACCCCTGCAGCAACGAGGGTGCTGATTATGGAGACTGTGCCTAATGGCAAATGCAAATCAGTGTGATTGCACTGGTGCTTCACACCACACCCCCAGACAGCTATGGTAACAGGCAAGGGAAACTTAACTGCTTAATCTAATTGTATGGAAACTAATCATTTTATAATGTTGACAGGTACAGTGAAAATTTATATGAAGACTAAGAAGCTGTTTCTATTCAGGTCACTAGCAAAGACAACTTTTTCTTAAGTTACACAAAACATCTGTTGTAGATTGTTCACTTATGATTAGAACCTTGGACAGGAAGGAATCAAAAAAGCACCATGGGCAGTAATATTTTTATAATTAACACTCAGAAACCAGATTTCTGAAATGAAGTTCTTTTTTGAGTTGGAAAGTCTACTCCAGCTATTTTTCAGAACCACACTTCCTCACTGATCACTGGATTCCAATATTCATTAAAATGCTACAAAGAACAATGCTTTTTCCCTCCTGTTTCTATATAGAGACTGGCAAATTTTGCTCTTAATGAAATCTTTTAAACAAAATCCTGCTTGAAATGAGAATAACTGAATGAAAGGCATAAAGTTTACTGAGAACTCTCAAATATACAGAATGTGTACTTGGCAAGACAAGAGGCAGTTTTCTACACTTCCAACAATTTCCTTGAAGTAAACGCTCTCCATTTAAGTTTTTAAAAAGAAACCCTGAATCAAGCACCAAGGGTTTATTTCCTTTTGCAATGCTGAAATGTGCCTGAGATATTTGTGTGTGTGTGTATGTGTGCACACAAAACTATTCTCATTTAAATAGATGTACACTACACTTTGGAAAGATTTCTTAGCTGGATGTACACACTTTTCTGCTTCTTAATTCTTATTCATTGCACATTCCTCTGTGTGCTTTGTTCACAAGCTCCGGAAAGAAATTAACTTCTGTTAATACATCCCTAACACAATTGCACTCTTTCAAAATATAAACCCTGTGTTTGTAAACTGAAGTATTTCTTTCTTACACAGAGCTAAAGATTCTCTCCCCTCCTTCTCAAAGTGAGGAGGAGTTCAAAAGAGCACAGTTTCTGAAATGAAAAAAAAAATCAAAGTTTTCATATTTGTTTGCTACAGAGAGGAACTTGGGCTGCTAATGCTGGTCAGACTGATTGTTATTTTAATATTATATTTAAATTATGTCGTCTGACTGCAAACAACTAGTAAACACTATGGGTGTATGATGGAAAAAAATGAAATGCCTAGACATACAGGTTAAAGGGTTAAAACACTGAAAATGTCAACAATAGTATTCACTTCTGACTAAATTAAGACAAGATGCTGAAGGGGGTCTTGAAATAAAGCTTTGGTTTTACCTTTCTACCTCCCACAAAAACCTTCTTCCTCAAATCCAAGCAATGTTCCTTTGCTCCTTGGTCCCAACACTTGTCTCTCCCACATTTTAACATGCACATGCCTTCTCCAACGCTTCTGTAACACACCCAACAATGCCTGTACTGGATATTAATCTCTCAAATTATTTACTGTGCTCTAAGTCAAACACCTTTCAGGCCAGTTAGTCTTCCTTTAGCATATCCATTTTTGATGACTGTGTGCAAACAGGAGCTCCCAGTGCTCCAATCATGGCTGGAAGACTCTGGTTTCTTCTCAGTCCTGCCATTAAGTTGCCACCTGCATTTAAAAACCCAGCTGAGTCCTGCCTCTGCAAGCCAGCCTCTGGCCCCTGATTCTTGCCATGGTCCTGTGTTTCAGGGGGCTTGATCACTCTGGCAATGCCCAGCCTCTTCAGTCTGTCCACGAGGCTCATCTTCTGCTGGCCCACGTCCGGGACGTTCCGGGAGGGCTTTAGGCCATACATTTCCTGCAGAAACGTTTCTGCTGGCCGAGAGGCCAGGAAATTCTCTGAGTGATGCGCTCGAGGCTCAAACAGCGGAGGGGAAGGACAAGGTGAACGCGAAGGGGAATTCGGCGGAGTGGAAGGAATGGGAAGAGTTCGGGAGGGCTGCAGCAAAGGCGGCTTTTCTAACACGGGGCTGTCGTAAACCTTGGCAGAGATGCCTCGCTCTTGCAAAAGTTTAGCCAGGCTGCTTGTGCTGCTGAAAGTAGTAGTTGAGTCTCTTCTGTTGGTGAGAAATTCTCCAATACTTAGTCTGTAAGGAATGGCTGGAGTGCTCACTACTGGGTTTCCAGTACTGCTGCCAGTATTCCCCAGTGAAAATGAAGCACCCATGGAGCTGAAAGAAAATAAAAATTGAGAGTATACACACATTAGACATTTTTATACCTGCTCTTCATATGCCTTTTAGTATACAGAAGACTCAAGAAAAACCTTAACTATTTCTATCAGCTGTGACAGCTTCAGTACTCAGAATTATTGTTCTGCTAAGTGCCAATGAATTTACCTTCTGTGATCACCTGTACTCTATTAGCCAGAATATTAACATACCTGTCCAGTTAATAAA